AACTCAATCTGTCTTTCTGGTGGAAGTAGAAGTAGTGGTGGTAGTGGTGGTGATGGTAGAAATAGTAGTGGTAGTGGTAGTAGAAGTAGTAGTGGCAGTAAAAATAATGATAGAGATAATAAAAATGGCGGGGCTGAAAGCAAAAATAGTAGTAAAACTAGTAAAATTAGATTTAGAAATAGTAGTAGTAGCAGTAATAGAAGCAGCAGCAGCACTAGTAGTAGTAGCAGCAGCAGTAGTAGAAGCAGCAGCAGTAATAGTAAAAGTAGAACTCGCATATTTTCAGAAGCTTTACCTTGTCAGGTAATAGATGATGTCCTACTTGCAAATGTTTTTAAATAACTTTTTCGCTCTTCACCATCTTTAACTTTCCTCCGAAGTTTCTCTTTTTTTATGTAATTTTTTTCACGATTTTTCATAAGAATAATTCAAATAACAATAGTTAAATTAATAATAATAATTAAATTAATAATAATAAACAGGGCGATAATGGAGGACCGTTAATGTGTTCCCTTGACAGGAAGACATGGTACCTCGTTGGCCTCATTGGTAATCCCGTCTCTGGTCTGATCAAAAAAACGAATGGTTTGATCAAGAAGATCATTCATTCGGTCATCCATTCATTCGTTTATTCATTTGTTCATTCATTCGTTCATTCATTCATCCACACATTCATCCATCCATCCATCCATCCGTCAAAGGCCCATCATCTAGGTGTACAGTTTCCATGGCGCACAAACTCCAACCATACGTCTCCTGGATGAGGAGAGTGATCAAAGAGAGGGGAGAGATAGTGCGTGAGGTGGAGAGAGGAAATATTATTAGTAATAATAGTACTGAAAAAATTTAGAAAATAATAGCTAAGTTCGTCACATTAGAACTTGTAGAAGAAATAGTATAAAAGTGTAGTGTAGCGATTGCAGTAGTAGTAGTAGTAGTAGTAGTAGTAGTAGTAGTAGTAGGAGTAGTAGTAGTAGTAGTAGGAATAGTAGTAGTAGTAGGAGTAGTAGTAGTAGTAGGAATAGTAGTAGTAGTAATAGTAGTAGTAGTAGTAGTGGTAGTTGTAGTAGGAGTAGCAGTAGCAGTAGTAGTAGCAGTAGTAGTGGTAGTAGGAGTAGTAGTAGTAGCAAAGTAGTAATAGTAATAGTAGTAATTGTCTTAGTAGCAGTAGTAGTAGTAGTAATAAAAACTTGTTAGCCTAGATTGAATTACAGCATGTACAACGAATATTGATGTCGGCCAGTTAAAACTTTCGAGAAAATTAATCAATTAACAATTTTTGCTTTTTAATCTTTTCTAATTTATCTATGCAAATCTCGATGACGTCATCTAACGATTCGTAATTCTTTGTTTGTTTTTTTATTAATATCTCCAAACCACTATAGGAAAAAAAAAGAGTTGAAAAACAAACTAACAAAAATAAATAATTTAACTGCAAAAAGAAATATGTATTCAAACGAAGAGAAAGCAAATAAAAATCACGTGAAACGATTGAATGTATGTATGTAGGCATGTGTGTGTGTGCGTGTGTGTGTGTGTGTGTGTGCGTGTGTGTGTGTGTGTGTGTGTGCGTTTGTATGAAAACAATTCAAATAAACTTAAAGTCATGATGATTATGATAGCAGCATGTACGTATATGTTTCATCAAAACTTTATGGTAATAAAAAGGCAATTGCAAATTTAACACGAATAATAATAATAATAATAATAACAAACAACAGTAAATATAACAATAACAATAATAAAAAATTTTCAAGCAAAAAAGGAATAGAGAAATGACTAAGTGTTTGTTATAACGAATATATATATATATATATATATATATATATATATATATATATATATATATATATATATATATATATATATATATATATATAGAAAGAGAGAGATAGAGATAGAGAGAGAATAAAATCAGACTATCAATTATTGACTATCAATTATTGACTATAATCGAAAATAATACATTGTCATTGATTAGACATTGGTAACAATCAAGGAATAATAATTAATAATAATAACAACAACACAAATAATGATAATGATTATTATTATTGTTGTTGTTATTGTAAATATAAATTTGAATATGACGTTCGAAGCCAAATAAACAATGCTATAATCATAACATATCCGTAGAAAGTATAAATATATATATATGTGTGTTTGTGTGCGTGTGTGTGTGAGTGCGTGTGTGTGTCTGTGTGGCTGTTTGTAAGTGTGTACGTGTGCGCTATACAAAGGTGAAAAGGTAACAGTAGAAAAATGAAAAGTTAATATTGCTAATCAGTGCGGTCATCATGATCGGACGGAATAATTATCATTACTTTCATCATCATCATCAATGACGTCATCATCATCATCCCAGTAACGTCACCATCATCCCCAGTGACGTCATCAGCATCTTCTTCCTCTTCTTCTTTTTCGTCGCCGTCGTCACTTCATCATCTTTTGTTGGTTTCTGAGATTCATGATGAGGCTGATGTAAGATGTCAGTAGGTCGTCCATCTTGTAGCCCTGGATGAATGAAATGATGGATTGATGAAATGATGGATGGATGGATGGATAAATGTAACAATGGATGGATGACCGATTGGATAATGGATGAATGGATAGATAGATAGATGGATAGGTAATCAACAAAAAAATCGTCAACTATTTCTTCATCAAAGCTATTAATCAACACATGCAACAAACCAATCAACTCATTCGCCTTCCCATTCAACCAATCAAATTAACCCCCTCCCCTCTCAACCAACAACCAATCATCTTAGTTCCCAACCATCCAATAAACTTGGGCCCCACTCAACCGGTCGACCAATCCCGGCAAACTAACCAAATTAGTCTCGCATAGCAGTTTACAGCCGTGCACTAGATTGCCAATTGTCATGTGGAAGTAAGTGTTACCGCTACTCCAATTCGAGATCCTTGTAAACGGATAGACAGCCAACAAATCCTGATAACAATAATAATAATAATTATTATTGTAATAATAATAATTATTATTATTATTATATTACTATATTATTTTTTATTTATAATAATTTTACGAACGAAATGGTGATTGCAATTGACCTAAGATGATAATGATAATATTGAAGATTGGTCTTTGTCGTGAGGTTGATGATGATGATGATGATGATGATGATGGCGATGATAACGTCGAAGATGATAATGTGTATGACCTTTGAACTCGGGTCAATGAGGTTGACGCCGTTTCTATTTATAGCAACCAATAGAAATTCAGGTAGGCCCGGCTCCGTGGTTTGCTGATAGCAATAGCATAATATATGGTGAAATAATAATAATATAAATAGTAATTATAGTTTTAGTAATTATAGTTATAATAATTATGGTTATAATAATCATAGTCATAATAATTATGGTTATAATAATTATAGTTATAATAATCATCATAATCATCACCTTAACTTCAAAGAAAGCCGAACCAAATGTCGGCCAGTTGTACAAGCATTTCAAGAAATTCACTTTTGATTCAGTCTGGGTTTTTCCAGAAAGCTTCTTGTAGCAAGCGGCTATTTGCTGGCAATAAGAAACAATTATAATTAAATTATAATTACTGTTATTATTATTATTATTATTGTTTTTAATTTTATTATTTTTATTATTATTCACTTGGGCCCAATCGTGGGGTGACAAGCTGTCAATGAGGTCGGTTGGTATGAACTCGTTCAAATTCGAACTGGTGATGGTTATTTTATTATTATTATTATTAAATTATGATCACTATAATTTTTTTGTTATTGTAATTATAATTATTTCTATTTTTATTATAACTTTTAAAGAATTTTAAATCCTTGGATGAAAAATTTCTTTCGTCATTATCAAAAAAATGTACCTACTTAGGTTAAGAATATACAATCACTTGTGTATCTAAACATCAACACGTGAATAAATTAGGCAAATTCAAGCCAGCCAATCACCTGATGGCTTTCAAATTAAGCTCCGCCTCTCCATACTTCGCCCTGTATATGAGTGAAGCTAATTGGGTGGCCTCATCGACCGAGCATTTGTGATAACCACGTAAGTACTTTGGAAGTTCCTGGCGATGAATCAGGGATGGGCATAATAAATCATCATCATCATTACTATCATCATCATCATCATCTTTTTCTTCTTCTTTTTCATCATCATCTTCATCACCACCACCATCATCATCATCATCATTATTACTGTCATCAACATCATCATCTTCTTCATCATTATCATCATCAGCATCATCATCAGTACCTGAGGGTAGTGAAACATGAGGTCTGCGTTGATGTCGAAGCCAGGCGTTGCGTTGGTCCAGAGCTTTCTCATGAATATTACCTTCATTGTGATTGGATGTATGGATGAATGAATGAACAAATGAATGATGGACGAACAAACGAATGATGGACGAGCAAATGAATGATGGTTTAACAAACGAATGATGGACGAACAAAATGAATGAACAACGGAACGAATGAACAAACAACAGGTTTCACGGAGAGATTCATATCTTCTAGAATGAACATATAGAGACTGGTGAACATTAGAACGAGTTAATGAATCAATAAATGAAATACGTAAAAGAATAAAATGAAAGAAAGAAAGAAAGAAAAAAAGAAAAAAAGAAAGAAAGAAAGAAAGAAAGGAGAAAACCTGATAGGTAGACTGTAGAAGATAACTATTAAAACCACCCCCGCCATTGCTGCTATTGTTGCTGATGCTACTGAGAGAGTTATTGTTGCTGTTGTTGAAGCTTCCGCCCGCCGATGACGTCATCGTCGTTGTTGAAGTCGCCACATTGTGGCGGGCTTTTTTCAACCAGTCCGTAAGATGGCGAACAAAGTCGAAGAAAAAGTCACTTTCCGGGACGCTAATAACTGCAGATTGATAAGAATAATAATTATTATTATGAAAATAACTATAATAATATAATTAATTATAAAAATATAATAACATAATTAATTATAACTATAATATTATAATTAATTATCAATTAATTAATTTATTAACTCGAGCACAAGAGGAAAAGATTTTTAATTATTTGTTTCTTCACTGATTCATTCATGATAATTAATTATAACTATAATAATATAACTAATTATAACTATAATTATATAATTAATTATAACTATAATAATAATAAACATTAATAATAAATTATTTTTGTGGTTTAACTTGCCTTTCCCTGCTATTTTCACAAACAGACTGAAGCCTTCCGAACTTTTGAGTTCGAGTCTTGTTGCAATACCTGTTGTTGATTTGGTTCTTCATTTATTCATTCATTCATGAATTCATTCATTCATTCATCCATGCATGAATTCATTCGTTCATCTCTGCATGAATTCATTCATTTATTCATTCAATCAGTTATTTATTTAATCTGTCATTCATTTATTCATTAACTCCTTCAACCTTGGCAAAAATCTTTTCCTCTTGTGCTCGAGTCAACCTCGAATGCTTCGTTCGTATCGTCCGGAAAATAAACCTGGTTGAATTTACGAATGAATGAACGAACGAATGAACGAACGAACTAACGAATGAACGAACAAATGAACGAATGAATGATTGAATGAATGAATGAATGAGTAAAAAAATAAGAAATGGGAATTTTTGGGAACGTTGTCACAAATAGGAATTCGGGAGGAAATCGGGAATGAGGAAAAAAATGGCAAGGAATTGTGGACACATTTCAATTCCTGCTCACCTCTATTTACAAGCACACTGATCTGGTTCAATTTTCAGCTTTAACATTTTTAAATAAATGGAAAAACGATCGATCAGTTTGATTCATTCACTTCCATTCATTCATTCATTCATTTATTTATTCATCCACTCACCTTATGAAATATTTGTGTGGTTTTGTGCTGGATGGCCTCAACTTCGACTTGATGCGGCGTGTACTTACGACAACCATTTCTGCGGTGGTGGTGGTGATGATGATGGTGATGATTGTGGTGATGATGATGATGATGAAGAATTTTTTCGTTATTGATGACGATGAAAAAATTGGCAAAAGTGAAAAAATATTGAAAAAAATGAACAGTCCGGACCTCAAAGTCTTCTGCAGCCTACTCAGGCAATCAAGCGCTATAACAGTTCGACTGCTTCTCGATCTTAAGAATGACGTCACTTCCTTCAAAAGATTCGAACTTGGCGCGAAACAACCAGTCATCAACCACATTAGCTCCCAGCCGCTGTTCTCGCTTTGTCTGAATGGACGAACGAACGAACAAACGAACGAACGAATGAATTAATTAATTAATGAGCAAATAAATGAAAGAACCTGTTAGGATTATCCGTCAATTGTTTGACGATCTGACAATAAGTTTCATCTCGCAAAAGCTCCTGTATACAAATACATCGATGACGTCATCATCCACCTCATCATCATTATCATCATCATCATCTTTATCACAATCATCTTTTCTATTATCACCTTCGTTTTATAGCATTATCACAATTGACTCCCGCTCAAACTAACAAATTTGATTGGTCCTTCGAATATCCTATCAGTGAGCTCGTACGCTGAAATCTGTCTCCTCATTGGCTGGTCTCCCATGTAGCATAAAATATCAGCAAATGAGCTGCAAGCTTCTTTGCATAGCTCCTCTTTATTAGTTATTTTCTTTAAGAGGGGCTGTTTGATTGGCTCTTTACTGTGTCTGTTGAAGAAAATATAACAGTTGAATAATTAACGCTCATCTCTTCGTTCGTTCATTCATTCCTTTACCTCCACATTTCTTCATTCATTCTTTTCCCTTTTGATGACGTCAGAGCTTTGGAAAGGGTTCGTTTGGCCGGTGGTCTGTCAAGATGATGATGACGACGACGACGATGACGATTATAATGATAATGACGAAAGAAAGATGGTGATGCTGACAGCTAAAAAGATGCTAATGAGTTCATAAACTTCATTCTAATTACATCATCGTCGTCGTCATCATCATCACCACCATCATCATCATCATCAAGTATCATCATCATCATCAACGTCAAAAACCTAAAATGCTCCAGAGAGTAAGCTTCCAAGGTATGATGGTTGTGGCTGTCATCATCACCATCATCAGCACCACCGGCAATACCCCCACGACTACTACTATTACCAGTATCACCATGGTGATGATAATGATGATGTTGGTTGCCTTCGTCCAATGAGGATTGACTTTCAAAGAGATGCTGCTGGAAAGTGGTGGTGATGATGATGGATGGATGGATAGACCAAGTGGATGATGATGATGGTGGTGGTGGTGGTGACGGATGGATGGATAGACTAAGTGGATGGTGATGATGATGGTGGTGGTGATGATGATTGATGGATAGATAGACTAGATAGATGATGACGACGACGATGATGATGATTGCGATGGTGATGATAATGATGATGGTGGTGGTGATGATGATGATCCAACCAATATCTCTGGAGATGGTTTTGTTATTGTCGGTAGTATGTACACGTTTTCAGTCGGAAAGTTTCCTGAAAATATTGTTCATCCACGCTACAATTATAATCATAATAGTTCAGTTATTCTTTTAATTACTCATTCATTCATTCATTCATTCATTCATTCATTCATTCATTCATTCATTCATTCATTCATTCATTCATTCATTCATTCATTCATTCATTCATTCATTCATTCACTCACAACGAACCTTTTAAATTGGAACGATTTGATTGGCCAGAGGACCAGGAAGAGCTCATCAACGATTGGCCAGTTTGGTCGTGGTCTAGTATAATTAGGTCACCTCGACGCAGGCTAAGTAGGTCGGGTCGATCAGCTGATAGTGATAATAATAATAATAATAATAATGATAATGATTACGACGGTGAAACAGGCGTATAACAAACCAGGGGCATTGTAGTCCATGAGGGCAATGACATACTTCGACCTTGACTTTAACCCCTCCAGAAAGGTCACAACGAGATCACGAATGTCTTCTGAGTTTGATGACGTAAACGTGTATTCCTCCCCTTGATTGATGATTGATTGATTGATTGATTGATTGATTGATTGATTGATGGATGGATGGATGGATGAATGAATGAATGAACGGATGAACAAATACTTACCTTTAATAGTAGCTAGAGTAAAGCTTTGACCATGCATTTTGCCAGTTCTGTCGAGAAAAATAAATGAATGAATGAATGAACGAACAAATTATTAAACGAATGAACGCATGAATGAATTAATAAATAAAAAATAAATAAATAAATGAATGAATGAATTGAATAAATGAAGAAACCTGCTACAAGACACAGCTGTAACTTCAGGAAAGCTCAACTCCAACAAAACTCTCTCCCTATCGTCTACCACGTAGATACCTATCATTAATTAATTCATTAATTCATTCATTCATTCATCCATTCATTCATTCATCCATTCATCCATCCATCCATCCATCTATTCATTCATTCATTCTTTCATCCATTTACCCACGCATTCGTTTATCCATTCATCTCTTCCTTCACTGACTCCATCAGCACGTCAGCATCATCACCTTCATCAACAAACAAACAAACAAACCTGTCCAGTTGACGGCGATGATGACGTCATTCTTCGGCAGACTCGGTCCGGCGAATTTGTATGCCTCGTAGAAGCGGGAAAAGAGCAGCGGCCACTTGTACTTGGCATAGTTCACTACGTCCTGTCTTATCCGAGAACTAATGGCCGAAGTTGGTGTAACGCTGTATATCATTATTATTATTATCATTATTATTGTTATTATCATTATTATTGTTATTATTGTTATTATTATTATTATCATTTTTATCATTATTATCACTGTTTAAAGTTCCATGGCCGCTTTCATTTAATGATGAATTGATAAACACTGTTATAAGATTATCGTATGACATTTACTGTGACAGGAACAAGCTATGATGCTAATTAAATATATTTCACCGTTCTGCACTTAACTTCACAATGAGCAAAATGGTCTTAGCCTATAATATTATTTTATACAATTTTTACAAATTTTATCATTTCGCATTATTTAATTAACATTAACTTATATATATATATATATTTTTTTTTATCATTGTATGTTTTTTATGGTGAAAAATAAAAGATGTTCCCATTATCATTATTATTATTACTACTACTACTATTGTTATTTTTATTATTATTATTTGTTTGCTCACTTGTTGCTCGTGGACAGGCTGGTTGATTGGTGGAGCTGCTGGAAGTAAGAAGACCGTAAGGCTGTCTTTATGGCCTGGATGGATGGATGGATGGATGGACGGACGGACGGATGGATGGATGGATTGATAGATTCATACATCAACGGATGAATAGACGAATGGATGAGTAAATGGATTGACTGATAGAAGAGTGAACCGAATTTATACAGGGTATTTATACAGGGTAAGTAAATGAGACCAAAAACTCACAGATGCCCAATACTGGACGCCCCTATCGGGCCTGATCATCTCGTCCGGGATGTAGGTGGGGACCAGGGATTGCACCCGATCCTCGACGTATTCCATACCGTAAACCAGGTAGTATTGCTGGGCAGATATCAGGATGAGGTCCTCGTTCTGGTGATGATAATGATTGAAGTTATGATGATGATGATGGTAATTGCATGATGATGACGACGATTCTTAAGATAATTATGATGAGGATCTCTATAATGATGGTAGTGATGTTAGTGGCTATAAGTATTACAAAGACAAATAGCTGAATAATCTAGACAGACAGCAAAAAGTGAAAATCACAACGAAAAATCTGATAGGAACTATGATGACACTGCAGAACCGAAAGCGAAACTAACTTTATCGCAGCGGTATTCCCCGAACTTGACGCCCCTGACGACCTGCTGGTAGATCAGGTTAGTGGAGACCGGGTCAAAATTTGGGTCGTGCCAGGGAGCAAAAATTTCTTTCCTGAAGAACAACCTCCATGGTGCATTGCGTTCCTGGGCACCTTGCTCTGGGCCAAAAATTAAATTAAATGTCATGATATGGGCCGTTTTTATAAATGTAGTCTTCATCTATTTAGGATTTTTTAATTCACATCTATTTAAGATTTTTTAATTTACATCTATTTAGGATTTTTAATTTACATCTATTTAAGATTTTTTAATTTACATCTATTTAGGATTTTTAATTTACATCTATTTTGGATTTTTTAATTTACATCTATTTAGGATTTTTTAATTTACATCTATTTTGGATTTTTTAATTTACATCTATTTAGGATTTTTTAATTCACATCTATTTAGGATTTTTAATTTACATTTATTTAAGATTTTTCACTTTACATATATTTAGGATTTTTTAATTTACATCTATTTAGGATTTTTTAATTCACATCTATTTAGGATTTTTTAATTTACATCTATTTAGGATTTTTTAATTTACATCTAATTATGATTTTTTAATTTAGATCTATTTAGGTTTTTTCCATCTATCCATCCATCCAACCAACCAACCTTTAGCATACTGCTCACACTGGGACACGGCATCCATTATGTGATCCCCACCACTTCCTAGTGATGAGACCTGACGATGGTGACGATGACGATGGTGACGATGATGATGGTGATGATGATGATGGTGATGGTAATGATGATAGTGATGACGATGGTGATGGTGCTGGCAATGATTCTAAAACTTTTTATGTCTCTCACAAGTTTCGTAGTCTAGGCTTTATCTTAGATTCAAGCATGTCTCTTTCTTCTCAGATTAATAGTGCTGCTAGAAGTTCTTACTTTCATCTACGTAGAATAAAAAAATTTTTGCTTTTTCTTGACAATCCTACTCTTCTTCTACTTGTTACTTCGTTAGTCTTATCTAGGATTGACTAATGTAACTCGCTCTACTATGGGCTTTCTGATTCTACACTCTATCCTTTTTTTGCTGCTCGTGTTTCATTTCTCATATATCTCCTTATCTTGTTCTCTTGCACTGGCTACCTATAAAATAAAGAATAATTTTTAAAATTTGCACATTTATGTATAAGTCTCAATCTAAACTATTTCCTAAATACTTATCAGGTGTATTAATTGAACTTAAACGTCCCGGTTTATGATCGTCTTCTTGTTCTCGCTTCTTCTTAACTCGTGTGAAACACTGTTTGGTTAAATCTGCACTTGCTTTTTTGGCTCTTTTCTCTGGAACTCTCATCCTCCTTCTCTGACTACTTCTCCATCACTTACGAAATTCAGAACGGATCTCAAGACCCATCTGTTTGAAAAATTCATTAAGGAGCGCTGTTGAACATCGCGGAAATAGCGCTTTATGAACTAAATGATTAATTGAACTGATTGATGTGACCGTTATAGGATAGCCAACAAACTTTATCGAAGAGAGCTACGTATAGGGAGAATCCGAATCTATCTTTTAGCTGAACCTTATCAGCTAGCTGAGAGCAGAGCTCGTAAGCCGTTGTAGCTGAGTCAGCCAACAAAGTTCGAGTACTTCCGTCCATGAAAGTTACAGATAAGATGAGCGGTTTTTTCAGTTTTGTCGCCTGCGTTTGGTGTGGGTTTGTGCGTGTGTATGTGCATGCGTACGTGTATGTATGGATTGGGTTATGATAATCATCCTTCTCATCACCAACATCATCGCCATCATCCTCCTAATCATCATAATCACAACCTGCAGCTCGAGCCAGCTTGGTGGTTGATTTCTGGCTCCATTAACGAAAGTTCTCCTCAGCCTCTTATCACAGTATGGCGCGTAGCCGGGCGGACCGCTTTTCAAGAAACATCGGAGATATTTTACGAACTGTGCGTTGTTTGTTTGTGTGTGTTTGTGTGTTTGTTTGTGTGTTTGTTTGTGTTTGTTTGTTTGTGTTTGTTTATGTTTGTTTGCTTGTGTTTGTTTGCGTTTGTTTGTGTGTGTTTGTGTTTTTTTGTGTTTGTGAGTGAGTGTGTGTGTGTGTGTTTGATGCGTGAGTAAGTGTGGTGGAATTTTTAGATTTTTTAAAGTACATATAACCAGATAAAAAAAAATTAGCCATAACCATCAGCATTATCATTATTATTACTCAATAACTCAGTCACTCTCTTTCTCTCTCTCTCTCTCTCTCTCACACTCTCTCACTTTATCAGTGGGTGGAAAACAGCCGACACATAAGGAAAGTAAAATCCAGCCTCTAGCATGGCTGGTTTTGTTTGGATTCTGCGTGAGTTGGCAGCATAGCTGGCAGTATATTTCATCTCTGTGGAAAGTTACGGCCATGATGAAGATTAGTGATGAGTTAGTGGATGGATCGATGGAAAGATGAATGAACGAATGAGTGAATGAGTGAATGAATGAATGAGTGAACGAACGCGTCGGTACACTCTGCTTAGCGTAAAGCCCACAATCAACAATCAACATAAATATACAGTCATGAGTTATAACTAAAAATTATCAAGTTTTATCCTGTCATCATCATCATCATCAACACAATAATAATAATCATCATCATATCATCCTCATATCATTATCATCATCATCATAACAATCATCATCATCATACCATCATCATCATCATCATGACAATAATAATCATCATCATCATATCATCCTCATAACAATAATCATCATCATCATATCATCCTCATCATAACAATAATCATCATCATCATAATCATAACAATAATCATCATCATCATAATCATAACAATAATCATCATCATCATAATCATAACAATAATCATCATCATCATCATCATCATCATAACAATAATCAGCATCATCATCATAATCATAACAATAATCATCATCATAACAATAATCATCATCATCATAATCATAACAATAATCATCATCATCATCATCATAACAATAATCATCATCATCATCACCGTCTACCTAATTTCCGGCCTCAAAATCCCGTGACCGATGATAAAGTGTAACTTTTCGAGGTTGGTGGTGGGCCGATCTTCGAGGAGGGCGTTGCCGGCCCCACCGTAGTCGCCATCTTTCAATTTGTTCGCCACCTGACGACGAGAAATAATATAAATATAGTTTTTATTATTTCTATTGTTGCTGTTGCTTGTTGTAGTTATTATTAATATTGTTCTTATTGTTCTTATTGTTCTTATTGTTATTATTGTTCTTATTGTTCTTATTATTGTTACCTGTTCGGTTATTTTAGATTTTTTCTTCAATGTCAAAGACACAATTTTCTTCCTCACGCTTGTCTTCCCATCTCTCCCAGTTTGCATCGGTTCTTTTTCCTACATTCATTCGTTCATTCATTCGTTCGTTCGTTCATTCATTCATTCATTCATTTATCCACTCATTCTGTCTGTCGTTCAAACATTAATTTGTTTCTATGATTACAAATTTCGTAACTTAATTCAACAAACCACCCATCAATCAATCAATTTTTTTATTCCTTCATCCCACTACCACCATCCATCCATCCATCCTCCCATCACTCACAAGTTCCATGCCCATCTTCTGGGCAAGTTCGATGTCTTTCCGGTTGAACTTCCGACCGAGCGTGGAGTAAATTTTCGTCATCACAGGCGTGGTGTCCTTGATGATGATGATGATGATGATGATGATGATGATGATGATGATGGTGGTGATGATGATTTATTTATTTATGTATACATAATCGTACTTGTTCATTTAACGAGCTCGGGAACTTAGGCTCCGGTAGATCTCCCATAAATCTTAAAATTGTCACCCAAACAGCCAAAGCTGCCTGAAAAATGTTTGTGTATTCGTATGTGCCTTTGTGTGTGTGTGTGCGTGTGTGTACGTGTGTGTGTGTGCGTGTGTGTATGTGCGTGTGTATTTGTGTATTTGTATGTGCCTTTGTTTGTACGTGTCTACGTACGTGTGAGTGTTTGTGTGTGTGTGTGTGTGTGTGTGCGGGTTTGTTTGTTAACTTTGAAGCCTCTTTCTCTCACCAATTGGTCGCCTTCGCTTTTCAGTGGCAGGAGTGGCTGCTTCAAAACCTTCCGCACAAAACTCGTTGGCGAATTTTCTTGAAAGTAGGTGGCGGCGAATTTGGAAAATCGATATTTCGCGACGTCATCGGTGTCGTCGTCGTCGTCACCATCAGCAAAGTTTTCCCTCTCGTCGTCATCATCAAGCTCGCTTTGGAAGTTGTTGCTGCGGTTCGGTCTAACTTTGCTGGATGCCTGCTGCTGCTGTAAGGATCTCAGCCTGCTTTCCTCCAAGTCCTTATTAATTAATTATTTATTTATCTACTCAACATACAATTCATCATTTAATCTGCCAAGCACTCAACCAATCCTTCATATCTACATAAAAATAAAACCAACGAAAAACATTTCGCCCTCATAAACCCACCCTAAAAGCCAAAGGGGCCTCATTGGCCATGCCCCCTCTACTAGCGCCCTCTTTATTGGGCCCCACCCCACCAGAAAATCCAGAGATGTTACTTTGAGTGTCGATGAAACCGAACATTTCGTCGACGATTTTAGAATCGTCAATCGGGTCTTTCCTTCTTTTCTCCGCTCTCTCTATCATCAGCATCTTGCTGGCCGCTTCTGATTGGATGAGACCTTCTTCCTGTTCAGTTTCCATGGCGATTCGTCTGAGGCGTTCCTGAAAATGATCATTGTGAGTGAACCCTCACTAAGTAATTCATTCATGTGAATGCTCATTCATTCAATCATTCTTTCGTTCATTCATTTAATTATTAATTCACTCAATCACTCATTCATTCATCCATTCGACCTTGTGCAGCCTCTCAGCTTCCTGCCTAGCCCTCTCAGCCGGCATCTTCTTCCTCATCACTCCCTCTTCCGACAACATCTGCTCGTACGATGCCAACTTTTTCTGGTGCTGATAATGGTAATGATAATAATAATAATAATAATAATAATAATAATAATAATAATAACAATAATAATAATAATAATAATAATGTGAATATATTTTATTTATTCAATCGACAAAATAAAATTCAAAATAATAAGAAATAAGAAATGACAAATAATATGAAGTTTAATAAAAATTGAGTTTTAATGAAATGTACGATCCTCCTAAGCTCGATGACGTTACAAGTGCATAGGAGTGAAAGATATATTTAATTATGCATTAATAATAATAATAATAATAACAGCAATCGTTATCATCCCCATGAAGATCGTCATCATTACCTCTCTTTTCATCCTCTGATAGAGAGATCGAGCTAGAAGCATCCTGACCCCTGCCTGGAGGACGATGACGCCCTTCAAACGCTGTCGGTGGGTACGCTTCTCTAAATAACTTCTGGAAATTCTCTGGCGATGATGATGATGATGATTGTGACGTTCATGATGATGACGATGATGATTGTGACGTAGTTGTTGTTGTTGTTGATGATGATGATTCTGACTAGGGTAATGATGGCGAAGATGAAGAAGATGACGATGATGATAGTGATAACGACGATGATGTCACACTAATAGTGAGACAAACGTGTCTGCAGACGCACACCCAGGCAGACAGATAGACACAGACACACACACACAGATAGACACAGACACACACACAGACATACACAGACAGACAGATAGACACAGACACACACATAAAAAGACAGACAGACCAGCGCACATACCTGTACAGACATAATCCTCGACCTCATGAAGACAAAATGTGAGGCCAGGACGCGAGACCTGCAGAGAGCCTGCAGTCTCAAATAACCATTCTTCATCTGATGATGATGATGATGATGATGATGTTTTGTTGTTGTTGATGACGCCGATGATGATGATGATGATGTTGTGGTTGTTGTTGATGACGATGATGACGATGATCAAAAAACGACAATTGAAAAAGCTAATATTTCAACAACATGATTGAAAACAGGGACAACAAAATGTTCTAAAAATTTAACCGAACCACCTAACCGTGCCCAACACAAAAAAAATTTCCCCCCTCACCTTTTCATATCTCTTTTTTGCAACCAGGGCCCTTAAATATTTCTGGACGACCACGCATGCGTACTGCACCCTCCTGAACCTCATTCTCTCTCTCCACATTCTGATCGCTGATTGGATGAGAATTATTTTACTCTTCGTTCTTTTCTCTCTCTCTTGTTCTAATTGGACGTCTTGTGCATCCTGTAAAAGAAATTTGTCTCTAACTCTAACCACCCAGCCAATCAGCAATCAGTCAGCCACCCAGTCAACCAATCAGCAGTCAGCCATCCAGCTGACCAATCAGCAAAGAAACCTTAAGAAAGACTTTAGTTCTACCCAGTTGGTAATCCATCTCTCCTAGGGCAGCAGTGCATATCATCATCGCCATCTTCTTCATCATCTCGTCATCATTATTATCACGCGTTAACGTGTGAGACAAGTTGCTAGGCAACAAAACTCGATATCTGATGATGACGATGATGATGATCATGATTATGATGATGATGTGGATTAGGATGACAATATTACTAACAAAAAGAAAGAATATAATCATTTATATAGCGCCGAATGCCTTTTATTTCAATATTTAACAACGAACCCAGCCTACATACATCAATCACTACCATTATAATTTACTGTTAACATGATGACATGGTTACAATTAATCTCCAATCATCATCATCCTCATCATCGCCATCAATATGATCATCACCATCATCACCACCATCCTCGCCACCATCATCATCACCATCATCATCACCATCATCATCAGCATAACCTTTCCACAAAATTCCGGAACAGATGCCTGATGGGATACCCAGCCCTCCTGATTCTGATGGTCTCCATCATTCCTGAGTAGCGCAACTGCCTCACGCATAATTCCTTATCGAATGTCTGGACGGATGGATTGATGGATGGATGGATGGATGGATGGATGGATGGATGGATGGATGGATGGATGGATGGATGGATGGATGGATGGACGGACGAACGGACGGACGGACGAATGGATGGATAGATAGATGGATGGATGGATGGATAGATAGATGGATAGATGAATGAATGGATGAGTGAATGATTGAATCATCATCCTCATAACCCACCATCGGTTTTTTAACTTCGTTAGGCTTGATGCATCTTATAAAAAATGGCTGGCAGCTGTTCAGTGCCCTCATCAGGGACTCTAAAGATCTCTTGAACTGGAAGCCAAGTGTTGGAGATTTCTTGCGGGTTTCAACACCCTGATTGGTGATGATGATGGTCATGATGATGATGACGACGATGATGGTTATGATAATGATGATGATGACGACGATGATTATGATGACGATGATGATTATGATGATTATGATGACGATGATGATGATGATGATGACGATGATGATGATGACGATGATTATGATGATGATGATGATGATTATGATGATGATGATGATGGTGACAACTAACAATAGATAAATCTTTCTTAAAGAGGTCAACGAGAAATTTGAAGGAGGATGATTGGATGACGTGGAGGAGGTCAAGGCTGAACGTATCTCTGTTCTTTTCCAGGAAACCTGATTCATACATTCATTCATTCATTCATTCATTCATTCATTCATTCATTCATTCATTCATTCATTCATTCATTCATTCATTCATTCATTTATTCATTCATTCACTCATTCATTCATTCATTCATTCATTCATTCACTTATTCATTCATTCATTTATTCATTCATTCAATTATTCATTCATTTATTCATTCATTCATTCATTCATTCACTCATTCATTCATTCACTCACTTTTTCATTCACTCACTCACTCATTCATTCACTCACTCATTCATTCATTTATTCATTTACTCATTCATTCATTCACTTATCAATTCACTCATTCATTCGTTCATCCACCTATTCAATCACTCAATCAAAGAGGACGAACCCCTGGCGTCATAGAAGACAACGCCGGCGAAATGTTTGATACCGAAGGAGCAGTCATGCTCGGATTTCGGCTTGTAGTAGTTGCTGTTGCTGCGGTGCTGCTGATGCTGCTTCGATAGTAGCGTCATGTCCGTGCCTGTTTCCGCGTTTCGTCCATCAGCCACTCAAACGACCAGCCACTCAAATCATCATATTCATCATCATTTTCGTCATCATCTTCATCATCACTTTCGTCATCGTCGTCATCATCTTCATTATTGTCGTAGTTGTGATAGGACAACCAATCAGCCAGACAACCAACCAACCAACCAGACAACCAGACAACCAACTAATTGATCTGAAAAAGATAGCCAGCAAGCCAACCAACCAACCAATCAATCAACCAACCAATCAGACAGTAGCCAATCAATCAACCAACCAACCAATCAATCAAACAGTAGCCAATCAATCAAACAGTAACCAATCAACCAATCAGACAGTAGCCAATCAATCAACCAACCAATCAACCAATCAGACAGTAGCCACAGACAGTAGCCAATCAATCAACCAACTAATCAACCAATCAGACAGTAGCTAATCAACCAATCAGACAGTAGTCAATCATTCAATCAGACAGTAGCCAATCAACCAACCTTTCGGAAATTTACTCTCCTCATCGACCAACGCCAACAGATTCAGCGGTTTGACAGCAATAAGGTCAAGGACATCTTGGTTGTCGATGAACTCTATCGTTCTCCAGTTTATCATCTCATGGTTGTACTCCTCCTATTGGCAACGATAGTGATGGTGAGGGTGTGGGGGTGTGGGGGTGTGGGGGCGGTTAGGGTTAGTCCGGTGTCCATCATCATCATCACAATCATCATCATCACAATCATCACAATCTTCATCATCACAATTACAATCATCATCATAATCATCACCCTCATCATCATCATCACCATCATCACCATCATCATCGTCATCTTCTCTTACCTGCTCCAGTTTGAAAATGTGCTGAACAAAGAACTGCTGCAAGTTCTCATTGGCGAAGTTGATGCAGAGCTGCTCGAAGCTGTAGTCGTCATCGTCATCATCATCGTCATCATCATTATCATCAACGTCATCATCGTCATCATCATCATCGTCGTCGTTTCGTCACCATTATCATCGTCATCATAACTATGATCCTCACTACCACCCCATTAAAATCACCATCTTCATAACCACCTATTATTATCGAAGTTTTCAAATCCAAAAATATCCAAGACTCCAATGGATCTCGTTCTGACGTCATCAATATGGCGTTTCTGACTGCTGCTGCTATTGTTGCTGTTGTTGGAGGAATTGTTGTCATGGCTACCTGAAAACGTCATCATCACAACAACATCATCATCGTCACCACCATCTCCACAACAACAACAGCAACAACAGCAACAACAGCAACAACAACAACAACAACAGCAACAACTGCAACAGCAACAACAACAACCACAACAGCAACAACAGCAACAACACCACCACAACACCACCACAACAACAGCGACAACAGCAAACCAACCAGACGGCTTGCAGATGGCTTCGTTAACCCGGTCAACAATCCAGACAAACATTCGTCCGTAGACACCTTTAACAAAGGCGTCTTTGACGTCTGCGCTGGTCTGGCTGGTCATCGTGGTAATCACCGATTCACCTCTGGTCAGTATTGTCCGTGTGGTCAGGGCCGAGTGGAGATGGGTGGAGTCCAACTAGGGATGTGCCGATTAAAAATTAATTGGTCGGTGTATCAATGGATGAACTATTTGACTGGTTGGTGTTGTTAAGGGCGTATGAATGAGTGAATGAATGAGTTAAGTGAGTGAATGAGTGAATAAATGAACAAACGAGCGAACGAATGAACAAAGGAACGAACCTGTAAGAGCTTACAAGCCTTATTTAATGAATCGACACCGACCAACTCAGTGGCGTCCATGTTCTCAAACATGGTTGCTAGATGAATGGATGAATGAATAAATGAATGAATGAATGAATGAACGAACGAACAAACGAATAAACGAATGAATGAACAAATGATTGAACGAATTTAATAACACTCGCCTTTATGCTTAATATTA